TTCTTTCTTTCTTTCTTTCTTTCTTTCTTTCTTTCTTTCTTTCTTTCTTTCTTTCTTTCTTTCTTTCTTTCTTTCTTTCTTTCTTTCTTTCTTTCTTTCTTTCTTTCTTTCTTTCTTTCTTTCTTTCTTTCTTTCTTTCTTTCTTTCTTTCTTTCTTTCTTTCTTTCTTTCTTTCTTTATTTCTTTCTCTCTCTCTCTCTCTCTCTCTCTCATTAGCTCTCTGTCATGTTTTGTGTATTTTACCTGATTCTCATAGTATGTATATTGTTGTAAACATAACATGCTTTAAAGATAAAGTACAGTTGCAGTATGAAAGACCACTGTTTGGAAAGACCGAATGTAAAATAGGCCTGGGTGTCAAATATGCGACTCTTCGAAAAAAAAATGCGTTCGTGTTCTCTCTCTCTGTCTCTCTCTCTCTCTGTCTCTCTCACACACACACACACACACACACACACACACACACACATGCGCATACATACACACACATACACACACACACACTCATGACCCCCCTTTTTTTATTCTACTTCCTTCTTCTTGTTCGCCGGCTGTAAACTCCAGCGGAAAGTTCTGGTTGTTCGACCACTGCTGGACTCTAGTCCGCTTCCAGAACCTAAGTGTTGTGTGCACATCCGTTTTACAGTTCTGACTCATTTGTATGTAGACTGTTGGTTCCTTGTCTCTCAGGCAGATGTACTCCGACTTCAAAAGAAGCTCCCAGTTAGTCGAATCTTACGACATGCTTTTGGGTAAACAGTGGGGTCTATTTTTGTTTTCTCCATAAAGGGACCTCAGAACCCCCACTGACTGCCCCAATCTTCCTAGCTCTCTCTAATATCCGCGGTTATAAAACGGATGTAGATAAGTTTGCTGAGCACGTCACCGGACATAATTAGCTGATTATCTGTCGGTACATTCCTGCCATTTGGCCCGCCTATTGTCTCTGTGTAAGGGTTGCTTTGCTATTGGGACAGAGCTAAATGTTAGGGGAGGTAATGTCATATGGGTAGTCGGAAACACCAAAACTTGTGGGCTGGGACACCTTCAGCCAGGGCCGTCTTAACGCATAGGCCTGCTGGGCACTCCCCGCCCCCACGCGCCTTTAATCCCCAAGCTGATCTAAGAATGTCACATGACTTGCCTTAAAAGAAGTTCCCAGTAGTTCCATTATGTGCCGTATAATCTTTGTTTTTATCCTTTAACGACAGTTTTGTTGAAGTGCCAATAAAATAAATATATGTTTGACACTATTGACCAAATTGAATTTTATTTGCGTGATGTTACTCGTAGGGACCGCACTACATTGGTTTGCCCAGAGGCCCGTAATGCCTTCAAGGCGACCTGGCCTTCAGCCACCACTCGTTCAAAGCAAGATTGCAGGGAGAGCTGAACCCAACCCCCCCCCCCCCCCCCCAACAACCACAACCCCATCACAAACTTTGTAAGGGGCTAAGTGACCCCTATCAATATAAATATATATATACCCACATAGGAATGAGACAATCTACATTCTTCGGTCATGTTATGAGAAGAAAAAAACCTTCAGCACAAAGTGACACTGGGAAATTTGGAAAAGGAGGAGGGGGAGGGTAGAGATGCAGGGGAAGGCCGAGAGAGAAGATGCTGGATAGTTTGACATCATGGCGAGGAAGATCATCTGTGTCACTGAACTAATTGTAAGTACATGTACCTGTTACAGAAGGATGGAGATAGTTGTGACTACCGACGCCACATGACAGAGATTTGGATAAGAGGAAGACCAGACCAAAACATGTACTACTGAATACAAATCACAAAATTGGAACGACGTATTCAAATACAAGAAAATGTTTCGACAACAATGTTTATCAGTAAATAATAAAACACAAGGAATGCTTACGTAGGAAACTGAATGATCACAACTGCAAATAAATAATCCACAAAGTTAAACAAATATCAAACAGAACGAATGCCTTGGACACCAATGTTGATAGACATCAAACCGGAAACCTCGGTATGATAAAAACTTCCTCCGTGTTCTGCTACAACGGAACAAACTACATTTTATCAAACTTTGTCTTCTTCTTCTTGTTCTCCAACAATCCAACACTCAAATAATTTAACACTCTAACACTCCAACACTCTAACAATCCAACATTTTAACACTCCAACACTCTAACACTCCAACGCTCTAACAATCCAACACTCCGACAATCCAACAATCCAACACTCCAACACTCCGACACTAAAACACTCCCACTCTCCAACACTCCAACAATCCAACACTCCAACACTCAAACAATCTAACAATCCAACACTCCAAAACTCTAACACTTAAACTATTAACGACGGCGTGTGATATCTGCACCAAAGGAACCTCAAGGGCTCGGAATGCTACAGAGGAATAGGATATTAACTGGAGTGCCTCAAGGAGCACAATATTAATATATAACCTACCCCCTCCCCCTCCTTCCGTGCATGTTTAGGGATAAATATTTACGGGTCGAAAACTCTGGCGGAATGTTTTGGTTGTTTTGTCAATTTTTGGACGTTAGTCTTGTTCCAGAAGTTGAGTTTCGTGTGCATATCCTTTTTTTTTTTTTTTACATTTTTGGAATCCACACGGGGTTTTAATGCAGTCAAAAAAGTGCAACCTCCGACCCTCTGCCATATTGTCGAAAATTACCTCCCAGCTCACTAACCAACATGGGCGTTCACCAGTTTGTTATGTGTCATAGCAAGTATATATAAGTTCGCTCCCTTTACTTTCCAAAACATTTACCCTCTGTCTGTCTGTCTGTCTGTCTGTCTGTCTGTCTGTCTGTCTGTCTGTCTGTCTGTCTGTCTGTCTGTCTGTCTGTCTGTCTGTCTGTCTGTCTGTCTGTCTGTCTGTCTGTCTGTCTGTCCGTCCGTCCGTCCGTCCGTCTGTCTGTCTGTCTGTCTGTCTGTCTGTCTGTCTGTCTGTCTGTCTGTCTGTCTGTCTGTCTGTCTGTCTGTCTGTCTGTCTGTCTGTCTGTCTGTCTGTCGGTCTTCCCTGGCTTTATATGTGTAGTTTGCACACTTGCCGTGTTACTTACCCACACTGTACTACCTTTTATCGTGCCCCAACACAACTGTGTTACACGTCTGTGCGGTTGAACAGGGGATAAATACCTGACCTGAGTGTTAGTGTGTGTTTGTGTCTGTGTGTGTGTTTGTGTGTGTTTTGTTGTTGTGTGTCTCTGTGTGTCTGTATGTGTTTCTGTCTGCGTGTGTGTGTCTGTGGGTGTGTCTGACTGTGTGTGTCTCTGTGTGTGTGTCTAGGTTTGTGTCTGTGTGTATATGTGCTATGTGTGTCTGTGTGAGTGTATCTGTGTGTGTCTTTGTTGTGTGTGTTTGTGTGTGTTTACTTGTCTGTTTGTGTCTGTGTATGTGTGTCTGCGTATGTGTCTGCCTGTGTATCTGCGTATGTGTGTCTGCGTGTGTATCTGTGTGTGTGTGTGTGTGTCCGCGTGTGTGTATGTGTCTGTCTGTCTGTCGGTGTGTGTCTGTGTGTGTTACTGCATGTGTGTGTCTGTTTGTGAGTACGTGTGTGTATCTGTGTGTGTGTGTGTGTGTCTGTGCGTGTATGTGTGTCTATGTTTGTCAGCGTGTGTGTGCGTGGATGTTTGTGTGTGCATGTGTGTGTCTGTATGTACTTATGTATGCAGGTATATGTGTATTTGTGTGCGGCATGTCTGTATGAATTATGTAAGTATGTATGTATGTATGTGTGTGTATGTGGGTGTGTATGTATGTGTGTGTAAGTAAGTAAATAGGCGTGTGCATATGAGTGTATGTGTGTGTGCGTATATTGTAATACCCATGATTTTAAGTTTTTTTCTTGATGTTCATAATATGCCTATTATTAAATAAACAGAACATGTGTTATTGATAAACCTCAACTGCTGTGTGAAAGATGGGTGCTTGGAAGGGCCGAATGTAAGACGGGCCTGCGTGCCCAATATGCGACCCTTTGAAAATAAGGTTCGTTCGTTCGCTCAACCTGGAGATGGTATTCCTACAGACTGTTATCCCGGAGGCGGGAATACAAAAATTTTTTGTTGTTGTTTTGTTTCAAATTGCAGTCTTTTTTGTGTAAATGTGGGAAGATCCAGTTGTGTAACGGCTAGACGCTCGAAGGTCGTGGGTTCGTATCCTGACGGAGCCTGACATTTTTTTTTTCAAATGACTTTGGCTTGCAAGTCGTCGCAGCGTTGAATGGATACCAGGTTAAGTCCTGGGAAGTAAAGTCGGTCGGCGTGTGTAGACCACATCACCCACTGAGTGCCGATTGGTCTGTAAAATATATGTTTGGCCCTATATGCCCCTTACGCATAAAGGAGGGGAAAACGGTCCTTTACCTTGGAACTGCTAATTGATTGTAAAGCATATATAATTACTTATACAACATATATATCTAATTATTATCATCATCATCGTCATCAGCATCAAGTGCCTTGTCAGCAGGCGTAGGCGTTCATGCATCTCCACAAATCTCGGTCTTTGGTGTTCTGGATCATTTCCATTGATGATATTACTAAATGCCACTATCTCAAGCCATCCACCATCATTTCTCGTGGTCTGCCTCTTCTACCAGTGATCTTTCCAGTCGTCACGATATTTGCCAGTGCTCCTTTTCTCATCACATGATCAATTAACTTTGATTGTCTCCTTCTCATTGTTGTAAATACTTTTCTATTTTCATTAGCCATTTCCAGGCAATCATTGTTGGTTATTCTGGCAGTCCAAAGTATTCGCAACATTCTTCTCAAGAACCACATCTCAGTTACCTCCAAACTCTTCTTAATATGTTTGCTCACATTCCAAAATTCACTGCCATGCAACAGAACAGGCTCAATGTAACATTTCAGTACTCGTTTTCTGATGTTTAATAACTGGAAATGCAATATGACATTGATTCTACATTGTGTATAGTTAATTGTACAACATGCCATTTTGATAACAGAGCCCAGTTAACTCTGTTGTATCTCCCACAGGTGAAGAATATGCCATCCGATGAACAGTTTTCCTTCGATTACAAGGTAAGATTCATGTCAGATTAAGTATTAGACTTATTTACAGACAGACATTCATTAACTGGTGCCTGCGCAGAATAGAGGGAATTAAATGGTATGATAGAATAACTAATGTAGAGCTTTGGGAGAGAACTAAACAGGCTTCAGTGGACCAAGAGGTGAGGAAATGACTCTGTCGTTGGATAGGACACACACTGAGAAAACAGGAGAACAGCATAAATAGAATGTCTTTGCATTGGAACCCACAGGGGCATAGGAATAAAGGAAGGCCAAAAAAAAACAAATGGAGAAGTGAACTGGATAATGAAGTTTGAAAGATGGGGAGAGCTCCATGCAATGGCGAAGGATATAACAACTTGGCGTGAGTTGGTTGAGGGCCTATGCTCCATTGGGGGGGGGGGGGGGGGGGTTGAAAGGCAAAAGCAAAATACAGAAGCCGATCTGGCATATTGACAGAGAAAGATGGCGGGTTTCTTGTGCAAGTGCTTCCATCGATACACATCTACGACCCCAACGAATCAAGGCTTATGTTGTGTTTTGTTGCCTGGCATATTGTGCCCAATCCAGGGCGTTTTTTTCTGGCGGTTTGGTCTAAACGAAAGATCAACATCCTGGTACAAGGGTAATAACCCATAAGTGCTTCGCTCCACTTCTAACTCAAGACTGAGAAAAATCTCAGCGCAGTGCACGAGCTCCGTAGCACCGGCGATGTTCCTACGCGATAATGAACGGTACGCAGTAACGGCACCCTTTTCAGGCATTCTGTTTTGTTTTTCAGCATTAGTCTGATGGATACTTTGGTATTTGTCTTCTTCTTCTTCTTCTTCTTCTTCTTCTTCTTCTTCTTCTTCTTCTTCTTCTTCTTCTTCTTCTTCTTCTTCTTCTTCTTCTTCTTCTTCTTCTTCTTCTTCTTCTTCTTCTTCTTCTTCTTCTTCTTCTTCTTCTTCTTCTTTTTCTTCTTTTTCTACTACTACTTCTTCTTCTTCTTCTTCTTCTTCTTCTTCTTCTTCTTCTTCTTCTTCTTCTTCTTCTTCTTCTTCTTCTTCTTATTCTTCTTTTCTTCTTCTTCTTTTCTTCTTCATCTTCTTTCTTCTATTTCTTCTTCTTCTTCTTCTTCTTCTTCTTCTTCTTCTTCTTCTTCTTCCTTTTTTTTTTTTTTTCTTTTTCTTCTTCTTTTACTTCTTCTTCTTTTCTTATTCTTTTCTTCTTCTTCTTCTTCTTCTTCTTCTTCTTCTTCTTCTTCTTCTTCTTCATCTTCTTCTTCTATTTCTTCTTCTTCTTCTTCTTCTTTTTTTTCTTTTTCTCCTTCTTTTTCTTCTTCTTCTTCTTCTTCTTCTTCTTCTTCTTCTTCTTCTTCTTCTTCTTCTTCTTCTTCTTCTTCTTCTTCTTCTTCTTCTTTTTCTTCTTGCTCCTCCTCCTTTTCTCTACTCATGGAATGCCTCAAGGCGTCAGGGTAAGAAAAGATCTTTGGAACGGGCCCTTCCGTTCGCTTCGTGTATCGTACTTTTCAGTGCCCCTGATATTTGTGCGGTCCATGTTTTTCGTGGTCGACCTCTGGCTCTGTTACCGCTGTATCTGCAAAACATTGCTCTTTGTGGTGCCCTGTCTTTGTTTACCAGATGTTATATCGCATCAAATAGTTCACTTCTTTCTCATGCCTTCCTTTTGGATGTCTCATCGTGTGTGTGTGGGGGGTGGGAGGGAGGGGAGGGGGGGGCTGGGGAAAGGGGTTAGGCCTTTCATTTGTCTAAATACAACTTTCCTTCCTCAAAGTGGTCGAGCCTTACGTGTCTAAATTTTTATCTTTGCTACTTCGTCTGATTACCCCTTTGCGGTGTCTCAGCACAAACACTTCGCTCTCTTGAGTGGTCTGGTCCTTCCGGTTTCTGAACACAATCATCCGTACTGTAGCCTGTATCCTTCTGGTGTCAAAATAAAATTTTAACTTATTTTTAACTTCTGAAAAAAATCTTAACTTATTTGTCTGTTTTACCACACACCGTGTCTGTACATGATTGTTCGGTGATGTAGTCCTTATTATAACATACGGATGTGAGTCGTGGACTATCTCGCAGTCCTTAAGAAAGAGAATAGGGGCTTTTAAGCTGAAATGCTATAGAAAGATTCTCAGAATATCCTGGACAAAGAAGAGAAGAAATACTAACATCTTGAAAGATCTTAACATCAAGCAAGACTGGCTAATAAACAGCGTCCTGTCTCGGAAGCTGAAATATTTTTTGTCATATCAAGCGCCGCGACGGATTGGTAAAAAAAATAATAGCAGAAGCCATAGTACCAGGAAGGAGGCGCAGGGAGTGACCGACACGAAGATGGACACAGGATATAAGTGACTCTTTGAGTCTGAATGTACATGAGGCGGGAGAACTGGCGAGAGACCGAGTTTCTTTCACCCAGACCGTGATGAGAGCGACGTTCTGTAAAGGACCTGCTACATGATAATGAGTCCTTCTTATATCTAAAACTGTCTTCACTCGCTTCTTTAGTCTCGATCCAACATTGTAAGTAATGGGCCTTTTCCCACGCCCTCATACCTACTATGGCATATAATACTAGATCTATATTTTATGAACCAATCAGCACTTGGGACGGGATGTGGTCAGCATCACACTGGTCGCCTTTACTTCCTAGGACTTTTCCCTGGTATCCATTGAAGGCTCGATGGACCTGTGTGCCAAACTCATTTTTTTTAAAGTCCAGCGTCATTCAGATTTGAATCCACGACCTTCGAATCTGCAGACTAGTGTCTATTCGCTACACCACGACGGTTCCATGCCCAACGTTGTGAGTAAATATATATTAGAAATATGTATCGTTTGAAAGGTCAGAATAAGTGGCAAGCCTTGTTGTGGTGGTCTTGATGTCCTCGAACAAGCATGTCAACAGTGAACCACGGCGACACAATTGTTGTCGGTTTCAAGTGGTTGGATCCTGGTTACATTGCACTCCGTGATTTTAGGATCATCATTCCCACTTTTAACAACCGCAGTATGTAATACACACCGATAAACTCGTGCATACATACAAGTGTGCGTGTGTTTTTGCACGCGGGCTTGCATGTTGACAAAAAAGAAAATGAAATCATGAGATTTCACTTCTACATATTCACACACACACACACATACACACACACGCACAGAGCGAGAGAGAGAGAGGGGGAGAGGGAGGTGCATACACATATGTACACATACACACACATCAGGAGAAAACATACTGCAGGTCATAACATTTTTGCAACTTCTTCGTCGTCTACTACGTTCGACGTCAGCTATGCTAAACAGTCACTTCCGTCTGAGTCACAACACGACGATGAGTCTAAGGTCTCCACCGGTCCCCCACAGCTTTTTATATAAGGTGGCTTCCTTCTACCCTGACCCCAGCCTTTGCTCCTAGAGTGGTTAGGGCAGTCCTGCAGTATACGCTCAGGAGTCTTGTCTTCTCCGTATCACAACTGACAGTCTTCTTTGCTTGTCCTGCATGCCTGTTATAAGACCGTAGTGTCCTGTCTGAAGCCTACAGATTGGTGTTTGTTCTTTCTTGTTAAGTTTATTCATTTTGACACTTGTCTGTCCCCAACCCCCCCCCCCCCCCACACACACACCTCCCGCCCCTTGTTCTGCTTTTTTACCCCTTGCCTTGGAGGACACTGCTTCAGGGTTGTTTTTGGTTTCTTTGCAGCTCTGTGGAAAATGGGGTTGTAGAAGATTACTCTTGGCAGCTAATCTGCTCTCTCATTTCCTGGAATAAACATTGAGCTAATATATACTGCTTGATTCGAAAGCAAGCAAATGTTGGTCATCAGATCGGAAATTTCTTTGTCTTGTTTTACGCTCGACAAATGCTTCGAGCAGAGTGGCAAGCTTCACTCGAAAGGTCACAAGTAGTGAGCATACTTTGGATCTTTTCTCCGGGCCATGTCGGCGTAGTGGGTAATGAACAGGCAGAGAGATTGGCTGGATCTGCATTCCCTGGGTGGTGAATTGCTAAATGACAAAACAGATGTGGTCAAGGCCCTTTGGGAGCAAGCAACGAAATCAGTAGAGAAGGAAGATTATTATGGTCTGGAGAGAATGAGCCACCTGGGTGTAACCATAGAGTCTTGTTGGCTCACTACACTCAGAGGAAAGGCAAGACGGACATTTAACCAGATTGGGACCGGTACCATCAGTATTGGAAATCTGCGCTGGCTGCTGAGGATGGGGAATGCATGGGAATGCCCCGAAGTTCTGTGATGACAATTCTTGACTTAACTCAACGCGCGACTTTGCTTGGAGAACAGACATTGAGACACTGAGTATAACAACTGGACTCTGTATTTTTGAATGTTGAGGTGATGACCTTCAGAAAGGAAAGCAGTTGCCTCAGCTTTGTAATTTATGCAGATGTCGCAGTTTTCTACTCTGCTGCTGGGTGTTGGATATAAATATGGCCTTTATCTTTAACTGCATTTGAAGCAGAGCCATCAGTGAAAACCTTAGTCCAGGCGGTACTGGAATACTTCTCTTCAAGCATAGCAAAAGTCAAGGTTGTCCGTCGTATCTCCGTCTGTGCATTTTGTGTAGTTATCCCTGGCACTTCCAGGGCTACATTGCAACAATAGTAGAAAATAGGGCTCAGAATCACAGAGCCGATCAAAGCTCTTGTCCCACCATACCCATGTAGCCAGGCCATCAAGATGTTTATCTCTTTGACTTACCCTTTCTAATTTCCCATTTTAGCCGTGTTAAACGTTATGACAGCCTGGAGACAGCAGTGGTAAAGAGTACGATTTCCGGAAAATGAAACGGAAGCAGACCTCTATGCAAGTGGATACAAGACAGTAAAGATGAATTGGCTGTGAAAGCACATAGGGCTGGAGAATGGGCCAGAGAAAGTGCTCTTCAAACTTTTCACACTCACGAAAACAGAGAAAATTGTTCCACTGCCCACCTGAACGTTAACAAAACCCAGAAACTTAAATAAATCTAGACAGCCGTTTGTTTGTTTAATCTCATGTCATAAACTTAACCACTTTCAGGCCGATGCGATATTTTTTGATGCTCATCCTTGCAGTTAATCATATAGACCAGTGTTTCCTAAACTTTTCTTAGTCGCAGCGCCTTTTTTAAATTAAAATTTTTAACGGCGCCCTAACCTAAGTAAAAGTATGACTATTCGTACGTAACAGGTCAAAATAAATTAAACTCGTGTAACTTCGAATACTTCGCGGCGCCCCTGTGAAGAGGTCGCGGCTCCACGGGGCGCCGCGGCTACAGTTTGGGAATCACTGCTACAGACTGCAAGCCTGGAAGAAGACAGAACGTACCCACCCTACACTATGACAGGAGTAGGCAGAAATGTTTAGCAAAACAACTGGACAAGTTGAAGAACACTGCGGTAAAAGATACGCAGCTAACTGTATAAACGAAACAAGATATATTGTTTCGCTGTTAGGCACTATTAGTTTGTTGAGGCACGATTAGTTTGTTGATATCTATAATGGGTAGGCCATTTGTAGATAGCGATAAGGTTAAGAGGGCAAGGTTACCAGAGAGAATAGGGGATACATGAAAATATCAGTAAGAAGTACGTTACAGAGCTGGCAAACAAATTTTGTTTTGTGCGTGTGTGTGTGTGTGTGTTGTTGTTGGGGGGGGTGGGGGTGAAAATGTCAGGCTAATGAGGTGGGTGCTATGTCGAGGTGTTAGGTTCCGGTGGCTCAGTAAGGCGGTCAAGTTGTCATGTCAGCTATTTAAATGAGGGGTTTTAGGGGTGTCACTGCGTATGGTGCTATCACTTTGTATTGAGTAAACTAAACAACGAAATTGCACTCCGTGATCTCTCCGTTCTCCTTTGGAACACATTAAGTCACTTGATGTCTTTCTCCTTTGGAACACATTAAGTCACTAGATGTGTTTCTCCTTTGGAACACATCAAGTCACTAGATGTCTTTCTCCTTTGGAACACATTAAGTCACTAGATGTCTTTCTCCTTTGGAACACATTAAGTCACTAGATGTCTTTCACCTTTGGAACACACTAAGTCACTAGATGTCTTTCTCCTTTGGAACACATTAAGTCACTAGATGTGTTTCCCCTTTGGAACACATGAAGTCACTAGATGTCTTTCTCCTTTGGAACACATTAAGTCACTAGATGTGTTTCTCCTTTGGAACACATTAAGTCACTTGATGTCTTTCTCCTTTGGAACACATTAAGTCACTAGATGTGTTTCTCCTTTGGAACACATCAAGTCACTAGATGTCTTTCTCCTTTAGAACACATTAAGTCGATCTGGGCACTGTACAAATTGTCCACTGACGTTACTTTGTATGTTGTTTTTTTCTCTGGCACACGTCTAATCGCTTGTCACCATGCAGGACATTTTAACTAACTAGATGCTTTTTTTTTCATCTGGAACATCTTAAGCAGAGCAGTGTACTTCTCAATAAGTTCACCGAAGATCCTTGGCAATTCGCTCAATGTAATTCTCTTGTTGGTCATTGTTGTTGTTTTTTTTTTTTTTTTGTAAAAGTCGTTTACGGAAGTTTCTTAGTAGGTCAACCGCTATCCCCGGGACACCTTAGAGCGGGCTATTTCTTTTTTAAGGCGTTTACTCTTGTTACATATTAAATCGCTCAATGTGTTTCTCGTTTGGACACTTTAACTCACCCAAGACATTTTTCAGGTTGCTCACTGATCTTGGTTAGTCATTTACTAAAGTTCCTTGGTAACTTCAACCACTATCCCTGGGACACCTTGAGTCGTTAGATGTCTTTGGTTATACCCTGAGTTTTCTTTATTCTATTATATAACCCTTAAAACGGCAGCCGCCCGTGCATATCGCTGCCTATGAAACCCTTGCATCCTCTGCTTTGTCTGCCATAGCACGAGACCGCACAAGGGCCTCATCCGAGTCACTAGGTGACCTCAAACCACCCTAACCTCCCTTTGATCTGCAGCTGACCTATGACTGAGCCTTACCCGAGTCGTCAGGTGACCTCTAACCACCTCTGACAAAAATTCCTAAAATGCCAAACATACATTCTATATATATATATATTTTTTTTTTTTTTTGGGGGGGGGGGGGGGGGGGGGGGGTTCTTTTGTTCTTCAGGTCATCTGAGTCACATTTAGCAAAGGTTATATAAGGAAATACCACAAAAACTTATACGCATTTCCTCCCTCATTACAGCGTGTATGTGCATGCGTGTGCAATAAACGTTGTGTGTATACCTTTTTATACATCTCGCCTCTCTCTCTCTCTCTCTCTCTCTCTCTCTCTCTCTCTCTCTCTCTCTCTCTCTCTCTCTCTCTCTCTCTCTCTCTCTCTCTCTCTATCTATCTATCTATCTCTATCTCTCTCTCTCTCTCTCTCGCTACCTGATGTTGTGATTCTGTGACTATTTGTCATTGCCATATATTTTTTCAGTGGGACATCGTCACAATGAAAGCCAAACTAATTGCCACAAGCCTGTTGGTTAAGTTGATGGCTTCCGGCGAATGGGACAGCCTGGCCATTTTGACCAATGTGTACACAGAATCAACTTTTCACAAGCCAAAAGTCAGTCTGCATGCTTGCCATGAGTTTCTGGCATGCTCTGTTTAAACCTTTTATGCAAGAATTTCCAGATGTCTTTTGGCATGCACCCCCCCCCCCCCCGAAATCTTTTTACCCAAGCACGTGTGTTGTATTCACAATAAATATCGCCACCAATATCTTCTTAACTACAGAATCAAAAGTCACGAATTTGGCCTGCAGTTTTTAACTTCCATCTGTCCAGGAATTTATATGCACACCATTTTCCTGTTTTCACCCATATAACTGTTTTAGAAGTAAAATTCTTGTGTTTTGCCTTGACCGAAAATGATTTATTTTACATTCAGTGCATGTTTGAATAATGTGTGTTTTTTGTTTGCCATTCCCCGTTGTGCACGGTAATAATATTTACCCTTTTTGTTGCTTCTTTATTTTATTTTAATGTCCCTTTGCCGGGAAGGCTAACTCAGTAAACAAATGCCTGCAAAAGTCAGATGTGTCGGCAGAAAAACCCAAATATCGCAGCCATACTGTAAAAGGTCACATTACAATTACATCTTGAAATGAACGCAGAAGAAAAAGAAGGTGTCCTTTTTGTGGTTGTTATTTACATGTCCCGTGGGGGTAAGGAGGGGGGGGGGGCAAATTTTCCTTTGTAAATAGAAACATCATATGTCTCGTTGTCAGGATATCGTTGTCCCATTGTAAAAACCACAGGTCCTGTAGAGAGGATACATTGTTTCCACTGTTGGAAACCCAGTGCAAAAGTACGAGAAAACCCATACCCCATTATTAGAATAGCTGTGTCCCGTTATTAGAATACCCATGTCCCATTTTTAGAACACCCAAAACCCATTATTAGAATACCCATGTCCCGTTATTATAAAACCCATGTCCTGTTATTAGAATGCATATGTCCCATTATTAAAATATGTATGTCCCATTGTTAGAATACCCATGTCCCATTATTAGAATAGCCATATCACATTATTAGAATAGCCATATCCGATGCCACATCATTAGAATACCCATGTCCCATTATTAGAATACCCATGTCCCATTATTAGAATACCCATGTCCCATTATTAAAATAGCCGTATCCGATGCCACATCATTAGAATACCCATGTCCCATTATTAGAATAGCCATATCCCATGTCGCATCATTAGAATACCCATGTCCCATTATTAGAATACCCATGTCCCATTATTAGAATACCTATGCCGAATCGTTAGAATACCCATGTCCCATCATTAGAATACCCATGTCCCGTCATTAGAATACCCATGTCCGATCATTACAATACCCATGTCTCATCATTAGAATACCCATGTCTCGTCATTAGAATACCCATGTCCCATTATTAGAATAGCCATATCCCATGTCGCATCATTATAATACCCATGTCCCATTATTAGAATACCCATGTCCCATTATTAGAATACCTATGCCGAATCATTCGAATACCCATGTCCCATCATTAGAATACCCATGTCTCGTCATTAGAATACCCATGTCCCATCATTAGAATACCCAAGTCCCATCATTAGAATACCCATGTCCCTTGTGAGATCTGCCATTACTGTCTGTGTCATGTTTACCACTTTTGAGTGTAGGCAGAGGGTCTTTGGGCCTGGAGATTTAAGGCCACGTGGCTGGTGTTGTCGCCACGGACTGTGCAGCTTTGCATCTTATTTGTGCCCCATTTTGGTGACGCCTTGTAAACTTAATGCATGTTTTCCCCCGCCAACTACAGTGGGACATTGTCAAGAGGAAAGTCAAGATGATTGCGGTGAGCAAGTTGGTGATGATGACCACCGGAAACTGGGATAGCATGGCTTCATTAGGCAACGTGTACACGGAAAAAATATTTTGCAAGCCCAAAGTTAGTGTACTTTGTTTTTTGTTACAGTTGATACTATTTTATTGTAACTCCTAACATACGGTAAACTATGTATTTTGTTTCAATCGCTTCAGGAGTAGGTGGTTCTGGGATATTAGCTTGAACTAGCTTATGTGCACGTAGACAGGTTAGCGCTTTTGCTTGCAAGCATGCCCGCCAGCTTGTGATCATGGTGTTGAACCCTCAAACTAAACAAGAATAGAACTAGTCAGATTAACATTATCGAAGTCACGAACTACTGATGGACGTTCAGGCTATAAAGTCTACATCAGCATATAATAAAAACAAATATGTTTACCATTACAAACGCGAAAAACGAAATCACTTATCTCTGGGTGGAGGTCTCTACTATAAGCATATCTTGACAGTAGACGCTCCAGTCACGTGCGACACGCTTGGGTTTCAATCTACATTGGGGAGCATTTTTAAAATTAGTTAAAATAAACAATTGTTCTTTAAATAAAGGAAAGCCTCTTTCCGTGACAACAAATACATCTTTCCAAACAAGTGAAGCATCACTAAACAAAAACACTGCATCGTTTCCAATAGAACCTTACTTAATGGAAACATGTGCATCATTTTAAAAAAAATAAACTCACTTAACGTAAACTTGTGCATCATTCCAAATATATATGGCTTTAATCTGTATCTGCATTTGAAGCAGAGCCATCAGTGAAAACCTTAGTCAAGGCGGTACTGGAATACTTCTCTTCAAGCATAGCAAGAGTCAAGGTTGTCCGTCGTATCTCCGTCTGTGCATTTTGTGTAGTTACTCTCCATATAAAACAAATGAAATCAGATACAAGATAGCACAGAATTCATCAGCCAGGATTTCTGTAATTTATCTGGGCTCCCGAGTCGAACTAAAAACGTAAAAGCGACTGGCGTAATGTTGACCCCTGTACAATACTTAATAAGAAAGAGTCCTTGTGTGGGTTCCAGCTCCCTATTTCGGGGGGTGGGGCTGGTAAGAATTGAACGACTGCCCCTCCATCAATCATGACGTAAAAGGTAAATAATTAAGGATTCTTCTCTGAAATCAGGACGCAACTACATACAAGTTAACAGATCTGTAAAACAGATGTGCATGCAAACTTCAATTTCTGGAACAAGACCAAATGAAGTGGACGAACAACCAGAACTTTCCGCCAGGGTTTAAAGTCAGTGAACGAGTAGACGCTGAAGCCGAGTAGATATAAGGAAGAGTACACGATGATTCTTCACCGAATAGACTCAATACCAAGGCTGTACTAACTGGAGCAGCGAGACAAGAAAACACTATGTGATCAGCCAGCCATTCATGGTTACATCAGCCATAATAGGAAGAAGAAGAAGACATGGGAGCATGCGCAACAAGGGTCCACCGATCATCAGTAGAGAGATCCCTCGTCGTCGATTGTTTGGGCCTATTACTTCCCTAGACAATCTCGGAAGGTGGGGCGACCTCGGTCATGGCGCCAGGCCTCGATCTTCCCTTGCTGCACTTTTTCGGACTCGATAAGGACAAGACCATATGGTGACTTTGCACCAGGTGCTGTAAGATTTGGTGTTATATTGTCGCTGCGGTAGCAAATTATGAGAGTTGTTAGTCTAAAAACATTTGGAAACACACTCAGGATAAGATCGGAACACTTATAGTCGTGTCCAGTGTGCGATAAAAATGATCTTTATATAAACAATGAACAATTAATAATGAACAATTGTGATACGCCATTGACGGTAAAATAGTCCTTTGCTTTCGTTTTATATTGTTTTAAAAAAAACGCAAGTTTATCCGAGGGCGATTTACTGCTCCAAAAAATAATAGTCATAATAAGAATAACAATTAATATTATAATTACAATTATAATAAAGAAAGAATCCTATATCTACTGAAAGGATCATAATCTAACTCATATAAAAAGAAAGATACTAACAATAGTCTGGTAATTTGGCTTGCTTTTTAAAACCGAAAGATACTACCAAGAGTCAGTTAATTGGCTTGCTTTTTTGTAAATTGGCTTGCTTTTTAGCGCTTTTTTGTTAACAGCTTATTAGATGTTGTTGCTCTTGCTTATATATAATTAACACACTACTGCTCGGCTTGTATTTTGTTTTTATTTATGAGCTTTAATTAGGTTTTCTTCTGTTTAAATAATAATTCATTGCAGTTATATATTAATGTGGTTCGGAAAAAATATATTATTTACTGTTTTTATTATTATTATTATGTTCGGTAAATAGGACGAGAGAATCGTCAATTTCATTCAAACAGATGTAAACATTCTTAGTAGGTAGGTAAGCTGTACCCAACCAGGACTTCACACAAGTGTCCAACACCCAGTGACACAAGGTACCACCAGCCGAATGAGGATCACCCGTGGAGAGGTCTCAGAAACCCCGTTCAGCCGTTAGGTTATATCTAAGGCCCGGCTATATTTAGGGCCCCGGGCAGAAGCCAGGGTGGGGCTTCAAAATTAACTAAAAATTGCATCCCACGAGGGGACGGCGATGTTTGCTGTAAAAATTCTAGCTCGGTGGTTGTCCTTAGAACCACAGGCCGGCATCTGAGAGCGTCACAAGAACTATATAACTTCTGTAAGGAAAAATGCCATGACTTTCTAAATAAAATTAAAAACAACTGCACCCATGAACCGATCTGTCGGTAAGTAAAAATAAAGCCGGGGTAGTGGAAGAAGAGGAGGGCAAAGAAGAAACTAAAATGACAACACCAAGAAATGGACATGACTAAGTTATCACTCTTATTCGTCAAGCAAAAGACAGAGAAAGATGGCGGGTTTTATGTGCTAGCTCTTCCATCAATACATCTCCACGACCTTAATGGGTCAAGGGTTATGTAGAGGTCACTACACCCACAATTTTTTTTTTTTTTTTACAGAGTTAGAGCAGTTATTTTGTAATGGTCATTTGAAGGGATACATGTTATTACATTTGTATACTTTAAGTGTTAAAAAAATCATGGTTGTTATGGCAATAGCCGCCATCTTGTGAAAAAAAAAAAACAATACGTGCTCAGAATCCTAAAATTTTAAAAACAAACATTCAACAATAGATGATGGATTAATGACATTTAATCCTATTTAGAGGTACATGTTTTGTTTATTTACTTTAAACAAGTTTTTAAATATTTTTCGTAGAATTTTAAAATGTAAGTTTATTGAAAAAGTCCAAAAAATCTAGCATCATAAGACATCAATAATCAAATTTTAAAAAACAAAAGCCTTCTAAAATCACTTTTATATAGACCAGTATCTATAATATTGTTTATAAAGTATTCATACTAAATTTCATATTTCTAGTCTTTAAATTAGCTGAGATTTTAGGATTTCACACAAACAACAAACAGAAATATAGAGATGTGAGAAAACTGACTTTTAAACTTTTTTTTATCTTAAAAAAACTGCATGGGTTGGTGTCTTTAGTATTAACTTTTCAATGCTAAATTGTTTACCAATGACACACATTTTGTGTGTAATCTATTCTACGAATGCCGACCATTACAAAAATGAACATATTGAAAAAGTGATATTTTTGTCATAAATTGGAAAAAATGCTATATAGTGACCCCTTAAAAGTAAAGTAAAGGAACATTTTCCATGCCTTCATGTGTACTGGGCATATAGGGCTAGAACTGTATTTTATAGACCAAAAGACCGTTACCGGTCTAACAGTGAAGATACTAATCGGCAACCTTAAGATTTTGAGACACAGAGCAATCACATGAATGATATTTCACCCTTGTTTGGGTTCTGAGGCCCAATTTCGAAGGAAGCCGCCCACCACATCGCTCTATCTACATGCACACACAAGCAGGTCGCTCTAGCTAGGTTTTGACTAATTATTGGAGTTTCCTTCGAAGTAGGCTACCTGAGAGCCGAAGAACCAACAGTCTGTGCACAAAAGATCTGCAAAACGGGTATGCACGCGAAAAAAGAACATAGGTGGAGACAACAACCAGGACTTTCAAATTTACAGCTGGTAAACGCGATGAAGAAGAAGAATGATATTGAAGCATAATTAATTTCGTTTTATAAAGTAATTACCTATGACGTTAAAGTATAATTATTTATATTGTGTAGGGTAATTATATGTATTGAAAAAAAGCGTAATAAACGTGTGTAGTGTAGTTAATTGATATCGAAGTATAATTAATTATGCTTTATAACGTATTAAATTATATAGAAGTATAGTTAATGTCAACTGGTGTTTAATTAATATTATTCATAAAGTATGCTTAATTATATTTTGTAGTTGTAAATGATTAACTTATTAAAGTTTAAATAATGATAGTTTATAGTGTAATAAATTATGTTGTTAAAGTATGGATCTCCCAGTATATGACAGATGCGAAATAGCGCTTGAAGAGTTATTACAGTTTCTTATAGTCAGTTACTGCTTGTATTTACGACTTTTGCTGTGTAGTTAAGGGTGTCTTTGAGTCTGAGGATTTAAGGTCGCATGGCTAGTGCTGTTGCCACTGACTGTGCAGATTAGGATTTCTTTTTTTTTTTTCGCCTCTGTCAGAAAAAAAAAATCCCTAACCTTACCCGGGATTCAAGCCTTCGTCTCCCGCATAGTGCCTTGTGCTTCTTAACCTCCCGGTCAGCCGATCCTCGCGTATCTCATATAAAAAGCATAAAAGAGATAAAACTTCACTACCCATTTTTAGAAGAGAGCCTTACGAAGAATCATCGGACCCATTAAACATGCACACAGTGGGAAAATGAGAAAGAAAAGCAACAATGAAATTCATAATGAATTTAAATCACTATTGATCACTGGCATCACAAAGGCTATACTCCATTTCGAAAGTTCTGCTCACCTTTAAAAATCTGTAGCCCAGTAATCCTTCGGCGTAAGTTGATATCTGACATGCAGCCTGTTAATAATCATGCCATTGTAGGAAATGTTTTTTTTAATTTAAATAAACGTCTAGTTTTCCGTTGTCTTATTTGCGGTTTATTTAAAAAAAAAAATTTCAAAAAAAAAAAAAAAAAAAAAAAAACAGACACGGATTCCAAGGAAACAGTCAGAAGGCTTACAACAAAACTGAGTAACGGGAACTTTTGAAACCATCAGACTGTACGCTTTTCATAGATGTTTCACTCTCATGTGCTCATCTCTAGTATTAGTCTTCCGCGAGCTGTGGTTTTCCATTGTATGCCGGATGTGCTGTCATAATAGTCGCCACATCGCTACACATGTGAACAATCTCCACGAGTGTGTCAGTAAATTCTATTTTTTTAGGGGTAAACCACAACCGGCTCCAGCTGACGGGCCGTGCTGCTGACGTCACCCGGTCGGGCTAACGATGCGTTAACGCAGCGGTTCTCGAACTGGGTGCCGATGCACCCCAGGGTGCCGTGAGTGTATGCCAAGGGTGCTGGGGCAATAATTAAGAAAAGTCGGCTAAAAATTATTAAACTTTTATAGAAGGCATGTAGATACTTACTTAACAGTTTAAATTTAAGTTGTCTTACCTCGAAACTGTCGAAAAAAGTTTATTTCCTGTTTGAGAACGGCTGCGTTAACGCATCGTTAGCCCGACTCGGTGACGTCAGCAGCACGGACGGTCAGCTTTAGCCGGTCGTGGATAAACAGTATTAGAGAATCAAAGATCAAAAACATTCGTCACTTTAAGAAAACAACAGCACCTGTGCATTTGTAAATTATAAAATCATAGGGATATGGAAAATCTAAGGCCACATGCAAAAATGTATGTTGATAGGCACTGGAGTTTTCGAGATATTTGTTAAAGTGTGACGGCACCAGTTTGGAAGCGCACTGTAACAGACTGAAATGGCGGTGGCATATAGAGAGTCTAGCAGACGACAGAGAGGCTAAAACTGTGTGCCCAAAAGAACTGAATGGTGGCAGACCACGGGGTAGACGAAGAAGACGGTCGGGAGATAATATCCAAGCAGACCTACAAACACTTGGAAATCGCCAGCTGGCAAGGATTTCGACGGGCAAACATGTCGTCACAGCGCCTCATTCTTTATTTGCCACCGTATTTTCACGATGTATTCCTTTTTCAGGGAGCAGATCGATGGAGCAACGACCTGTACTTCGGGCTCCAGCGGGTAGCCAGTCTCAACCATTCCATTATTGCTTTGGCTACAGAAATCCCCAACAAGTGAGTTGATGTCCAAACATATCTGTAAGCAGGTGGTTTTTTTTTTTAATTTTAAACTGGAGGTACGCAATGGTACACAGTACCGGCATCTTTTTTAGGCATCATTATTTCTGCAGTTCTGTAAAAGACTGTTTTGAGTGCTGGAACTCTTTTGTCTAGAGAAAAACAAAAACTGTCTGTATGCTTAAATGATTGTTGCAGGTGTTGTATGACATCTACTGGTTGCAAACTGAACGATTATTCCTAAATAAAGAAATACTGAATCAATAAATGAATGAATTGACATCACTACCATTGGAACGTTCCTACTTGAACTCTACGCAGACCAAGAAAGACCTGGGTAAAGAACGTGTTTCATTGGACAGGCCTTAGGCAAACAACCATGAAGTGCATAGCATCTGACTGTCAAAAAGACTGAGACTTCTTCTTAAATCCCATGCTGTGTGGCGTTGGTAGTCATGTCTATCAACAACTTTGTGTCTCATGTACTGTCAGTCAACTCTGACACAGATGATCATCCATGCCATGATGTCAAACTGTCCAGCATCTGTTCTCTTTCGGTCTCCCTCTGCCTCTCCTCCCCTCCAGGTTTCCTACTGTCATGATGTTCTCCAGGTGTCTCCTTTTCATCACATGACCACAGAATGTACACTGTCTCTTTCTGATGTGAGCAATCAGTTCTCTTTTAAGTCAGTTTCCTTAAAGACATTTTCCTTACTCTTTTTAATCTTTCCGTGGTATTTTTATCACTCGTCTTTAATTAACACCATATAAGCTCGAGTACCAGCTGAAATCAGCCATTTGCAATGACGTCGACTTTTATAAGATAACAATATCTGGAACCGGTAACGTTTATCTCCCAACACACCGCTTATATACACACCAGGTCACCTTCTGATTGGTCATTCCTCAGCCCCGTGTCCTTCACACTAAGGTCATAGGGGTGTTCCGCGATACCGTTGATATTGCGTCTTGTATATTTCAGCACGCCAGTGCTTTCAACGCTCACAAAACATGGAGCAACTGACCCTACCATTCCCCCCCCCTTACGCCCCCCCCCCCACCCCCGAGAGTGCTGCAACCTATGTCACAGGCATTCTCTTTCTCGGAATGAAAACGAAATGCAAGACAAACAAAAAGCAAACAATAGAGCAGGACACAACCGTAACCTTCCAGAAAGTCGACCAGCCCAACAAACTTGTAAATGAAAAGTGAACTATTCTATTTGGGGAGATTAACGTTACTTTAACCCATTCTATTATTGTAGCTGGGTGTGGTATTGCCACCAACCACATGTAGATTGTGACCCTGTCACGCGATGCAGGTCTGGGAATCAACTTGCCTGAGTCCTGATATTTCACTAGGCACGAATGTTTCGTGGAAAGGTCATTTTGCATTTGGTTAACCCAGCGTCTGTGGTTTAAGCGTTGCCAACGCGCTTCGTGATTTTGAGGTACGGCGTTCGAATCCAGTTACGGACGATCTGGCAGCAGATCACCTTGCGTTGAAGTTTAGCAGCGGTATTGAGTGCCGACCGTTTAGAAAGAATTGACAAACTACTCGTACGATGGTCTAGTAAAACAAAAACAGGTAAAAAATGCTGGGGATTGTTCCGCAGAGCCATGTAAAGGATACGCTACTAACTTGTTATTTTAAACCGGGATCCGACTAATTGTTAGCAGTCGTTGTGATTTCCGGGGCCTCATTTTATTGTTAACGGAAGAGACAACGCTGGGCTGAGCCGAAAGACGTAGCTATCGCAGCCTATCTGTATACCACAACACAGCTTATTGACTGCCCTTTTAAGTGTGAGCGCAGAAGAAGTTAGCAACTGTGTGATTGGGCTCAGTCCTCAAATGTATGATCTAATTAAAACTGCTATTACT